AACTGACAGAAAATTGGAACAAAAAATATCTGTAATTTGGCCATAAAAGCCAAAGCATTAATACTTCAATGCTGCTACCTTCTCTCATAAAAGTTGCATCTGGGATTCACGTTGATGCTTGATTTTCCTGTGCAGCTCCCTGGCCAAAACATATCTCAGTGTCTTGTCTATCCTGCTTAAATAGTGCCTTTATTGCTGTTGTGGCATACAAGCCTTTTTACCTTCTGGGCCAAGTGAATGCTTAGGGCAAGTGATGCCCGACTTCTTCATCTCAGTATTACAGTACCAGTGAGAAAAACCTTTTGGGTAACCTCCTTTCAGCATAAGAAATGCTTTCAGTAACTATAGCAGGAGGAAAGATAGCCTTCCTAAATCAAAACCATTTGCAGTGTTGCCTCGCCTATGCAATCTTTCAGCTATCCTGCACAGCTATTTCAGAACAGAAGTGTGCTAGGAATTTCCAGGGACATGACAGAAACACTGCCAGGTCACTTAGAAATAAACACTATATTCTCATCCCAGTTTATCTGAGCAGACTCCTGATCACTCAAATATTTAATAATAATATCACTATCTACATAGGTAGCCTTTTTTCTTTCAAGCATTTGGAGCTGTAACCCACTGAAGGCAGTTTTCTATTGATAGCCAGTTCTGAATAACTGTTGCTCCTAAGTCTTAACAACTCACTGTTGCTTTCTCACTTTGATTCATTAAAATACAAACTCAGCCCTCAAAATAGAAACCTGAGCATTTCAAATAAAATGTGTGAAGAGCCTTAAAATCCAAATGTATTAAAAATCCTATTCATAAATCAACTGACAAGTTATCAGTTCTTTATAACATCTAATTTAGTAAAGTTCCAAGAGTACAAAATAACACCTCTCCAGAACAGTTTATTCCACAACTGAATCTATGTGACACTGTATTTCTGGAGACCACAGAACAAAACATGCACTCTTGTTTTTTCACTGCTGCTTCTTCAAGGTTTGCAGGAAAATGGAAACCGATAATAGCACAGCCCATTCTTGAAGGCTGCTAGAATGTTTCATACACTACTTGAGCAGTGCACAAACATAGTGGCTGTATCTGTGGCTTACTCACAGCCTCTTCAACCTACCATTTGTGTTGCAAACAAACACTGCTCCTTCCCATAGGCATATCTGCAACCTGCTCAAATATACACAAAGAACAAGTGGTGGTCCACTCTAATGAAGCCTGTAGCTTGTATTCTTGCCTTTGCTTACTTTCCTAACAACAACTTCATCTTGAACAGTCCAATACCATAAGTAAATATCAATTACGAAGAGTGAAATTTCATTTTCCTTAAGAACTTATCACTTAATTTTTCACTTTATTTTTATTCTTATATCGCACTAGCAGAACCAAGCATATAAAAAACAAAGGGAAAAGGGAAGTAGTTACTGCCCGGATAGTTTGAGTCTTAGGACTCATTTAAGTGTGTCAAATTCCATTTTTTGTGTGCCTGTATGTCCTTAAACAGAGACAACTTTTCAGAGCAGAAGACAGGACAAAAATTTTCTTTCTTGTACTTTACAGATGAGCAAGATCTACATTTTACAATCTGCGTGGCTAACTTCAGTAACAAATTGTTACAAATGATCTCAAATACCAGAATCTAAATCAATATGAAACTTGGTTTTGTACTTCAACAAGAAAGAAAAAAAAATAAAAACTCCTTCACAACAGAAACTGCTCTTATAACTCTTCCTTTTTCCAAAATATTTTCCTATAAATAATTTAATACAGTATCTGCTTGTCAATTTTAATGCGTAGACCTCTCTTCCCACCTGGTATTAAGTCTCCTTTCCAAGTAGCTGATGCATAATTACTTTCCAGGTCTGGTACAACCTCAGAATTGTTTCTTCCTTAATTTGTCCCCTGGAGATGCTGCTCAATGCTCCAAGCTGAACCGCAGCCCTTTTGGAACAGGCATTACCAACTCTGACAAGGTCAGGATGTGGGAAAGAAGGAAAGGTCTGATGTAGCGGCAAAGTGCCTTAGCAGATGGATTTTGATCCTGACCAAACACATAACAATCCCCATGCTTCACCTCACAGGCACAGAGTACAAACCACTGACCTGTTTCCTAAAGCAGCGTTGGTGATGAACTGCAGTTCCCAAAAAGCTTATGGTGCACCATCAGCATTTCCATGGTGAAATTGTAGCATGGTAGGAGCATCCGGAAGTGCAATGGAAGGTCAAATGCTGTTCACTGTGACACTGACATGATGATTAATGCCTGCATTGACTATAGATGATTCACATTTAATTTATACCTATGCAAGTAGACATGGCCAGCAGGATTTGATGTTGCTGAAGCATAACCCTTCTGGCAGGTTTGTACTCATGTCATCTGGAGCATGCAGCATTTGAGACCTGACTGTTGTAATCATAAGAATGTCTCCAGATCCCTGGAGAAAAAAAAATAAAAAAAGATGCCTATAATTCACTGACACTTCAATATTTTCTTAGCCACCACAGAGTGGCTAAAGCTACATATCAGCACTAAGAGATAAAAAATAATTTGCTTTTCTGAAAACATCGCCTACTATGAACATGATCTACATGATCTACAAGAGTTGGGTTGTAATGTCACTCTGTTTTTACCTAAGTCCATGAACCCAAACTTCAGCAGCTTGTCATTTAAATCACATTGTCTCAAGGTCTCAGAAACTTGTGCTTCTGACTCACTTGATCTCTCTGGTCAAGAAGAGTTGGGCTCTCAGCCCTGTGCTGTCCTCTGTGCTAACTTCACACACATCTTCTGCCTTCAAGCTGCTGCAACCCACAACAGTATAAAGCCAGAAAGGTAGTAAAAACTTATTTGTGCCATTGTCTTTCAAGTATTCTTTTTCTTCTGAGGAGCTGTGGTTTGCTTTTGCACTACTTCTTCCTGGCCTCCATCAGTTAGATCCTTTTTTTTTTTTTTTTTTTTTTTACCACCAAGATGAAGTAGAGTTCATAATATTGTTACATCTGATAATTCCTTCTGTAGGTTCTACACGTTGGTTAACTTTGATGTAGAATAGACTTATTCTACCTCAGTCCTTTCAAAAAGGAAGAGGAAAGAAATTGAAGTGTATTTTCTAGAAACTTGCTCTGCTCAAAGATCAAGTCAGACCTCATTCCTCACATTCTCTCAGTTTTATTGTAATAGCAAATAAAGTGGGCTGCAAATATCTTTACAATTGTTTTATATTACTTGGATAGATACTTTTCTGACTGTGCCAACAAATAGATGCTTAGCCCTTGACCAGTGAAAGAAATAAAATGCATTTCTAGTCATAATTGTCTGCAGGTGAAAGAGCAAGAAAAAAATATCTTGATAGCCAAACTGAGCTCCATTAAAAAAATAAAAATAAAATAAAATAAAATCAAGAGCTTAACTCTTCTCACCCTGAAAAAAAAATAATAATTTCCCCCTTGTAGCCTGTAACACTTAAGGCAGTAGCTCAGCCTTTGAAAACAGCATATTGCCACAATACAAGGAATATTGCCCTTCAGCCTAAAAACATCAGCCAAGTTCTGGAGATGTGTGAAAAGAAGAAAGCACCCTGCAGTTTCTATTCTTCCCAAGTGCCTCCTACAGCACTGATCTGCTGAGGTCCTGCCTGGGACATCTGCACATGGGATCATTTCTATCTCACAGTAATCGTTGTGGTATGCTGGAATAAGAACTCATCACACACTTAAGTCCAAGAGTTTTGGTCTTAGATTTCCATATTTTCCAATACTCATGTCTCAGCACTGCAGGGAAGAGGAAAAAAAGGTCAAAAAATCACAGTCTCTTAAGTGCTAAATGTCAATATACAGTTAAAGTATCGCCCCAGGCACTCATAGTTTGCAGAGTTGGAAATATCCTTCATTGTCATCACAGGGGGGCACACTACAGTGCAATTTTCAATAATATTCATCATTCATCACTCCCTCAGCCTGAATTGTATCCCCATCTGTATCTATTTTATCTGTGAAAAACAGTTAAAGCATTCCTCTAATTGTAACGGACGTAGGCCCACAGTTCTAACACTTAAAAATAAAAAACACCACTGCAGCAAAATACATTGTGTATCTTAAAATGAAAATAGGTGGTTGTGTAGATGCTTTTTTTCTATTTGAATAATCATTATGTCTACATGTTAGTCTATCTTTCTAATCATCAGTAAAAGATATCAACGGAGAGAGCTTAAGTTTGTTTATTGCCTTGTTTCTAAAAAGAGAGAGTGATCATCTTCATCCGTACTATATAGAAACACTAGCTGTGGCTAGGAAAAGAATTATAGTAATAGAAAGTAAAACTTGAAAAAAATTACAGTGACAAAATAAAAATCTAGAATAGAGATATTTCTATTCAGTGACATATGGATCTTTTGTCAGGTGATATAACATTGGGGTGCATTATATGCTATTTGAATAATAAAAAAACTCACAAACCTATGTTTAAATCTTGTTTCTTGACCTGTTGTCTTCAGAAAAGAAAAAAAAAAAAAAAACAATACAAATATTTCATTACACTCAAAGTATGATTTGTTATCTGGAGGGAAGGATGTAAAAAATTCCATTCTTTATCTGTTTGTGCCAGTCAAAGAGCAGTACTGGATAATGCATTATTCTGTGTGAACCATCAGTGAAAGAGAGCTGGGGCTTGCTCCAAGGCAAGGCTGCCTAATTAACACCTCTCACCTCTGACTGTTACCATCTGGAAACTTGACATCCCAAAGCTCTTCTGTGCTCAGTCCTCTCCCATGGTCCCTTGTAATAGACAGAGAGCTCACACTACCCCCACTGCCTTGAGTAAAGTGCAAATTTTCTGTGTCATTTAGTCATTCCTTCCTCCCCAGGGTCTGCATTTACAGTGTTTTTTAAAAAGAGCTCCTGCTGTATACAGTGAAGTTTTATGACTAAAATTGGGTTACTCTGCTCCCAGAAAAGAAAGAAATGTCTCTTGACAGCTGAGATACAAAGCAGAAAACCAGGTTCTAGTAAGGAGGGAAGAGACAAGGTAGAGCCTCTTCCTGCTTATGGAAATCACTCAGCATCTCTTTTCAACTTTATGCATAGCATAGAAGTTATCACATTCCGGCTGTACCACTAGTAACCTGAAAAAGAATAAACATAAAAATACTCAGGTCATATTTTAAGAATACCCAAATCAAGGCTATCTAATAGAGGTAGTATGTTTGTTGTTTGTTTTCATTAACTCAAGACAAGAAATAAGGAGAGTTAAAAAGACAGACCATAGCTCAGTAAAGGTAGAAGTCTCATTGTTACATCTAAATACATGTAACCTGGCATACACCTATGTTACAGTTGATGCTACAGCTGGAAAGATTAGCGTGATGAAAATGGGGAAAGAAACAAACAGGGAAGGAATGCTCACCTACATTCAAAGATCTAGGTTAGCAAGACTCCACAGAAAAGGGAACTCCAGAAAGAGAGCCTTCCCTAGCGGCAGTCAGCCCTTAAATAGGGGGTCTAAGAGAGGTGCAGCCAGGCTCCACCCTTTCTGATCACATAGGTGCCTTCACCTGTGCTCCCAGGGCTGAGCCAGTCCTTTCCTTAGGTGATCAATCAGTGGTTCAGGCCTCAACAGTTCCCATACAAACTGGGAGAGGAATAATTGGTGCCATTTGACTTTTGTACTGAAAACCTTAATTGTGATTACCAGATGTGACAAGCGCAGTGTCACCAGAGTGGGTGTAAAATATATGCAAATATGTGTTAGTAACCATTCCTTTAAAGCTCTTTGTTCTCCTAAAATGCAAGATTCTATCACAAAATATTAACATATTCTATGCAAAGCAAAAAGGCCATAAAAATATTTTTCAGGATTTTTCATTTTTTAAATTCAGAAGTTAATATAGTTTAATTATGCTGTGATTTTGAAAACAAGAATGAGTACTCTTGAAATATGAAATCTTTGTATTAATCCAGTAGAGTATGCAAGCAAAGTAAATTCTGAGTGTTGCGGTGTGATTTTTGCTTGTGGTGTTGCAATGAACAAACAGGACAGTCATTCAGATAAATGTCCATTGCCCAACCCTGTCTGCAGTCAGTGTTAAACAGAATGAGACGACATTGGAAAATCACCAGAGATTGCAGAAAACATACTCTCACATTTTTTATGAAGTTTCACAACGTGCAATGGCTGCATGGTGGATATGTGCTCATCCTTCACATTGCTCCAGTCACACCAGTGAAATTATGACAGGAATGAATTTAGGCTAATACGTCTAATGCAAGAGGAATTCCAAAGGGCTGGAAAAGGCGCACAATGTCCATTATTATGTACAGTATAGTTCAGTTTAGACATTAAATTATGTCGGTTAAAGTAATATCATAGACATAATAAAAAGCTTGAGTCCAGGAGTCTTGTAAGGACTTCTCTCAAATCCTAATCATTGCTCTCAGCAACTGTGTAAAATATATCAACTTTATCCCACAAGGGGAATCATTACCCTTTGACTCTGAATTTGCAGAACAGAACTTAAGAGCTTCAGTCTTTTTCCCACATGAGAGAAGACTAAATATTTCCATGAGAATTGCCTAGTCTGAGTTATATTTTTTGACATTGCATTATAAAACTTTAAAAACATTGGGAACATTGAATGTTCCACTGTGCTGAAGGCATCCCTACTGGATTTACTGAGGCATCGCAGGTCTTCTCATAGGCTTCCAATCACACAACACAAAGTAGTCTTCCTGTACATGTCTAAAAATATTATTCACAGCTGTTTTTGGATACACACTGCAATGTAACTGCAATGGCTGGGCCTGAATATAGGTGCCAGAGGAAGCAATGTGAGTGGGAGGCTTGTACAGTTATGTGGCAAATTTCATCAGGAGATGCAGGCAATATTCATGATAGACGTCACCCTGCCTCATTCTACTACATCAGTGCTTAGCCATAGAGATCTTGATCGTGAGAGGAAATTCTCCTATTTTGTGCTAGAAAAATGTACATAAGATACACGAAAAAGTATTCTAGTTAAAGTTCTTAGAACCCCAGGACAAAAAAGCGTGTCCACTTCTGACATTCCTCTCTGAGGCTGGGCTCTGTGCTATGCAGAACAATCTGCAACTTTTGCATGAATGCAAACAAGTGAAAATGCTTAAGCTCAGCTTATGAGATTTGCATTATCTTCACCAGCAGCTTTCACAAACCTTTACTAACAAGCAAGCCAAAAATATTGAGCATCTGTCCAACTGACTTTCAATAGCTATGACGTTGTAAGCTCTGTTCCTTTTACAAATATACTAATTTCTTCTGCCATTAGATTTCAGTTCCAGATATGCTTTCCAGACATTGTCTCATAACCCTATTTGATAGGTATAGGAATATTAATTTTGTCTGTGATCCTCTTCCTTCTGACAGAAGCAAAATGTGGAAAGCTCAAGCTTCCCAGATTTCAGCCTCAACACCGAGGTTCCTTACCAGATCTGCGTCTGACATGATGAAAGACATGGCATCCAAAGCATCCAGCTCAGATGGTGGAGGAGCTGCAAGATACAATACTATGATACTAAATGAAAGATTGTATGTTTGTTGTTGTTGTTGTTTTAATTTTTATTTTTATTTTATTTTATTTTATTAATTTTAAGGCTAAATTGTAGACTCGGCAGAATTCTAACCACTTTACATTGATTTTATGCTCTTGTAACTTCTGTCATTCAGAGGTCAAATATCTGTAAAATACAAAACACATAAAAGAAATGATTCTTAAAAAGGGTAACATGACATGAGTATGATCCATCCTCTTTAATCAGCAGATAGAATAAATGGGATATAATGTTACTGTTTGCATACTCTGTGGCTTGAGATCAGAGAGAAAGCTGATGTAGAACATTTTGCTGAAAAAAAAAAAAACAACCCACAATAAAAGCCCCAAGACTTTTTACACACAAAGTGTTGTTCCGTTATGAGGATGTTTAAAGCCATTTACCATAAAATAATAGCCTTTCAGATCCTCTCACTATCCTGAAATCATTCTGCTGTTCTGTGGTAATTATAACTTTTTCAAATGTTGTAAAATATAAGGTTGTTTATGGAAAAATGTTCTGCTAATCAAGATGTCTCAGAGAATTTGGTACAAGTTTTTTTCTTCTAATATCTGTCATACAGGGGAGGTAATGGAGCTTTGTAAAAACATAACTCAAGCTTCTGCAACTCTAATTTGCTAGAGCTTAAATTCAAACTTGTAAGAACAGAAAACTCAGTAAGAAAAAAGTAGAGATGCTGTAGTTTCCAAGAAAGCGAGCAGTAAATATGAATTTTGATTTCAGGGAGAGGGACGTGTCTGTATGTGTTTCTGGGTTCAGGTCTTCCAGGACAAGTTGAAGAATGGGCAGAAACCCTCCACTCCACAGCTCAGAGCAGAGTCCTGACCCAGCTCTTGGTACATAAATGAGGAGAAAACAGAGCTACCAGAATCATCCATTTTAGACCTCATCCTTCATTTCTGTTGCTTTCCTTGCAAGTTAGCGCTTGCAAAGGAGGTTTGCTAGTGTCTAGGTTGTCACTCAGTTTTATTTTAGTTTATCTATTTTCTTTTTCCAGAGTTTCATAGTCTGTGAGCGTATGACCAAGATGTTATAATTGCAATATAATCAAAAGAGGAAGGCAAAAGCAAACAAGGATCATAAAAGAGAATAAGTAGAAGAGCTTACCCTTGGGTTGAGCTCACTAGAAGATACCAGTAGAGGGGATCTCCAGAAGAGATCCTTCCCCACTGGCAGCCAGCTCTTAAATAGGTCCAGGAGGGGTGGAGCCAGGCTCCACCCCTTCCGGCAGCACAGGTGAATTGCCTTCACCTGAGCTCCTCTGGCTGACTCAAGGCTCACCTCAGGTGATTAATCAGAGGTTCAGGCCGTGACTCAGCAGTTCCCATACAGTGAGCCATCTAATTGACAGTATAAATACACGCATACTAAATACTTAAACCCAAATTGGTGACTTGGGCATTGATGTCAGTGCACTAATGGCCTTCTCAGTCTATGCCATCTCCTTGGGTCCCTGCCTATGGACCAGGACCAGAAGCCCTGTTTCAGCTCAACCCAGGGCTTTATCCATTGTAAATGCTCTAGTGATGAGGAACATGATAAGTTACTTTGACATTTTGTAGAATTGCTTGGAACTTTCATGAGCCTTTTTATTTTATAAAATGTTACTTTTTTTTTTTTTTTTAACTGACATATATTGTTCGGGAGTGATGGACATAACAGCCTTCTATTGGTTCTACCACATGTATCAGGTTTCTATTCTTACATGATTTTAATTTACCCATCAGTACAAAATGTTTGATTAAAATAGACATGGGTGGGTGTGTGGCATAAATTGCACTCAAAACAGCAATTGAATATGGGATTAGGAAAAATGATGTCCTTACAATTAATTGCAGTACTTTTTATTTTAGGAGAGCTACCTGTTAGTGACTGTTTTTGGCATACTCTTACTGCTTCTTTATTTATTTGTCCACAAAGGCATTTGTATTTGTTAATCCTATTGTGTAACTGCTATGGGTGGAACTTCATATAAACCAGCTTTGGAAAAATAGAGGAATATTATTGCAAAAGGTTTCTCAAAGTGACAGATTCTAACACTGGTAGTCTAACAAGGCATTAGTACTTCAGCCTTTTATTTTTTTTTGCACTTTCCTGTAACTGGTAGCGGCACAATAGCCCCATTCTGCAGGTAATGGGAGTTTAAATTATGGGAGGAGAGAGTTACTTTACACGAAAGTATTTAAGCAAGCCATTACTTCCAACACCCCTTTCTTACTCTGACTCTAAACAATTCTCTCCTCTGAAAGATGCATAAATTATTTTTAAATATAATATGTACATACATATATATATATATAAAACAAATGTATGAAATGGGGCTGTAGGCTGCCTACCAACATCACACTATACGGCAAAGGGCAAAGGTCACTGCCCTTAATGTCAGGGCTGTCTGCAAGCCTGGTGAAAGCTACCAGGAACAGCAGGAGCAACTACCACTGAAAGCAAAGAGTACAGCCCTCCATCGCTCTCCTGAGCACAAAGAATCCAAATCAGAATAGATCATATCTATGTTTGAGCCTTAATGGTAACAAAAGTAACATGAATACTAAGTAGACAAAATCAGTTGAGATAGCTGTGCCTTTTAGCAATTCAGAGGTTGTTTGGAATCTCTGAAATACATCTACAGATGCTACAAAATTTAACTAAGAGTAGGAAATTCCTATTTGAAAAACTAACTCCATTTGGATGAAGCCAACTTGAAAACTTTCGAAAAAAATGATTTTAAAATTCTCTCAGTAACACAATTGGTCAGGGTTTCATTTCTTTGTAAGTAAAAGAGACATCAGGACAGAAAGATATAGAAAAAAATTTGGCTATCAAGATAATTGAATTATGATATTTGCACAGCTTATTTTCTTAAGTCTGTGAAACTTAAAGATTAAATTTCCAGTATCAGCAAACTATTCACAAAAGTCACACATACTAGTGTAAAATAGATAACTTTGTAAAAGGGCTTTAGAATTACTCTGTTGTGCAAGAACTATAATTATCATCCCTTCCAATTTGATAAAAGAAAATTGAGTTTCCTTTCTGGGAATCACTCTTGATTTCCTCTTAGTGAAATTGCATGAGATACCCTGTATACGTGATGCAAACACATGCCATACAGGCCTCAGTGTTGGTTAACAGCAGATTTCTGCCCTGAAGACAGAAAAATGCATTCAGTGTTCTTTGCTGAGGCAAAGAGAGGGATTTGCAGTGCCCTTCTCAACTGTCACCCAGCCTCAGAGCTGATTAGATTTAATCCACACTGAACTGCCAATGAACAGCCAGAACTACATCTAGGTGACACTGAGAGTTTGGTACTTAACATACTTGAGCCCTGCAGATGTACAGGGATGCCCAGTTTCCAGCACGCCTGGTTGTGCCAGACAGCAGTGCTGGCTGCTCCCACAGCAGGTCTTATGTTGACCTTGCATTGGTCAGGTCCTGTGTTTGCACATGCACTTGGAAACCACAGGAAAACTTGTTCTGAGACTGAGGTTTTTTTCTACCTCAAAGCCACTCAGGGCAAATTGATCAATCTGTAGGAAATTCAGATAAGCCCCACTAACTCAGAATATGTTCAGGCCATCTGTTTTCTTTGCTGTAGCGTCTGTAAGCAAGGTGACATAGAAGTTCCTGGTTATGAAGGAAAGACTCAGATGAGAGTAAGGAGGTAAACCGAAGAGAAAACTTGCAGTTCCCAATAGGTTAATGGGTAAACTGGGCAAATATTGGAGGAACACCTATAGGCTGATCCAGCTGGTGGGCTTTTCTGAATAGGAGAGAGGATATAAGTAGTTTGTGATGTAGGGCACATGTGAAATGGAATTATTTTGGCAGGGCTTGAGCTAGATAAGCAAAAGAATAAACATAGTGTAAGGAAGAAAAGGAGAAGGAAAAACTGTTGAAACAGATGTCAGCAAGATCTTGAGTAGGAAAAACTGACAGTGAACACAACTACAAATTGTAAAGGAAAGGGGCCACGAGGTAAGGGAGACACAATGAAGACCACAGAGGGACAGCAATCTTCTCACTTATTTTCTCTGCTTAAACATTTGTGCTCTACATTAAAGTGCAGGAGAATATAATCTCATTCAACTCTCACAAAAATCCTGTTTATTTATTTTTTAAGTTCTGTTGAATCTCTGGCAATTGGGAAACATGTCTTGTTCTGATACACATGATAAAGTTAAATCAAAAAAGCTGCTTTCGTTCTGCTGTTGAGAGATTAATATTCCCTGATGAATAAATCTGAGCCTTGCTAGAGCCCAGCTTGCTTCAATAGTAGATGGCATAGCAGGCTGTTCTTCACGTCTTGCCTAAAATTTCTGTCATTATTTGAGCATCACTGCCTCTCATTCTGCCCCTCTCCTTGACAGAAATCACTTTTTGCAAATCTTATAAATGCCTCATGAAAGAGCAGCAAAAGAACTTGCATATATGATTTCAAAATACATATCACCGCTTGATGTAATTAAACATATTGTGGTATGTAGTTCTCCTGTTCACTGAGATTTATATATCTATTTATCTATCTATTTATTTATTTATTTAGAGTTAGAAATAAATCTACTACTCTTTTATATACAACAAAATTGTATTGGTGGCAGTTGCCAATTACAGTTCTCCATTCTTGTGACCCACATGCCACAGTCATTTGCTAAATTCCTCCCCTTGCCAACATTTTAAGCAATAACATTTTGTTCATTATTATATCATCCAAAAAAATATCATCAGCTAAAATTATCTTTGAGAAGCAGAAGAAATGGCTGCAAGTCTCCATATGTTATCAGCCTTAATTTTCTTCCCCTCCCAGTCTCACAATCCTCCTTCCATTTGTTCCAGTAGTTAACTTATCAGCTCCCTGAGGGGAATGCGGACCTGTCACTTCTTATCTCTTTACCACAAATGTGACATTACTTAAAGTATAAGCCTGAACAATGATATCAGCCACTGTATTTTCCTCTCCCTTTCTTTGTTAATGTAAAGTACTAACTCAGCCCACTCTTTTGCACTTGATATTCACTGAAATAAACAGTTAACAAATACAAGCTGTTTTCTGTGCTTTTTGGTGAAATAACCAGAATAAAAATCTCTTGATAGATGATGATGAATTTCAGTCTGTTTGGATAGGTAAGAGAAGCTAGTTTAAATATTTATTGTCTTCCATGGCAAAAGTGACTTTTTACAAGTAAACTTGAGAACCAAAGGTGACAGCTGGGCTTGTGGTAGAATAACCTCTTCCCTGCTGGGATTATTGGCAGGCCTGCTGAAGAGGCCAAGCTAGAAAACACTCCCACTCTGAACATTTACCCCAGGATACTAAATCATAATGCTTAATCCAAACATGATGCCTTCTGCCAGGACTGGGCAGATGATGGCCGCTCATACTCATAGGGTCAGGTTAGTTAGCTATCATCAGTAAAGCACAACACTCAGACTTCAGGGAATAGATGGCAAAGGAGGGAAAAAAATATAGAAGACTGTGATTACTCCCTACCAAAAATTACAAGGTAAAAACTTATAAAAGGCTTACATTTTGATGAAAAACTTATTCTGCAGATCACAAAGTAAAGGTTCTATTTGGAACCTTATTTGGAAGAGCAAGTTGAGAAGAGCTGATCGCTACTCGGTTGTTTTCTGTGCAGATCCCTAGAAAATTTGGTTCGCCCAATCAATGTACTTTGAATGACATACTTAGAAGGCACATTTGAATAAGTAATCCCTATCAGATTAAATCTTTTTTACTGTGATGCACCTGATGTTTGCAGATAACCTTTAAAATATTACAACCTTTCTTCAGAGACCCTGGTAAAAAATGCAGTCTGTCTTTTGGAAATAGATCCTTGTTTAAGTGCATCCCACCTAGAACAAAAAAGGGAATGTCTACAGAAATAAAAATCTACTAAACATGCTTGCACAGGAGTTCATCACAGTGTTTACACACAATAAAAAATTATGTTGGGTCTTCCGACCCCTAGCTTTCCAGGTCAGAGACAGCACCGCTTCTCTGTGGCTGTATCAATCAGTGCATACAAGGTAGATACCATCAAAATTGGCTTTGAGAGAGCTAAATTGCCTAACCTGGAAAATACAGATACAAAATAATAAAATTGTGGGTGAGCAGGGAAGAAATTACCTGCCTACAGCCACTT